TGCGTCACGAGCCAGTAGGACGACCGAACGAGCTCGCGGAGCAGCACAACGATGACGATGAGCTGCCCGCCAATGTCCAAGAAGGACATCAGCACGTTTTTTCGCGAAAAGAGCATGTTGACTTCGTCGTTCGTGTCGCCGTCTGGGAACGGCACGACCTTGTAGAGCGTCGAATCGTTGTCGAGTTTGATGGCCGTGCACTTCGAGAGGTGCGTCACGACACCGTAGGTTGCGCCGGCGTAGTGCTGCTGCGCGACGATGTACCCGGCGCGGAACCGGAAGCTCGAGAGGTTCTGACTGGCACCAAACACCGGCAAGTAGTAGCGCGGGTCAGTGCAGTTGAGGTACGAATGGCCATACGAGCGTCGGGCGTCGTCGACCGCAAGTAACCGCGGTGCGTCGACCGCACCGCCTGGCGCGACGGTCCAGCCTGTGCAGCTGACGGGCAGGTTGACGTGGGCGTACCGGAGGAAGCGGCGGGTGACACCGTCGCCGTTGTATACGGTATGGTACGAGACGCCAAGCGTGTTGTGAATGCGAGAGCACCAGCTCGACGTGTTGCCGCCGGCGCGCGTGGCCATCGCCGCCGTCGCCGTGCCCATGTACTTGCTCTCGGTCGCGTTGTGCATGAGATCCAAGATGATGTGGTCGTTGGCCGTCAATGGCGCAAAGTCGTACACGCCGTCGAGAACATCGTCGTGGAAGACGCCTTGGCGCATGAGGAGGAGGTCAAAGAGCGATGACGTCAGCACAAAGGCGGTGATCGAGTAGACGTTGACGAAGAGATCGATGACGCGCACGGAACGCTCGAGCACGCGAAAGTGACGCGCCTTGGTCGACGACCGACGAGAGAGCTTGACGACCGACGAGTGGTACTTGGTGTGGTCCATCTCTTCTGTCGGTAGTGTTGGCGCGGATCGCATCAATGCAGCTGAAGTCAACCACCGAAATGACAACCAAAAGCGAAACGCTATTTATAGTGATCCAAAATGGCGCCAATACGTGGCAACACCACGAAGCAAGGTTGGGAGAAGGATCTCGCGTTACAAAGGCGTTGTTTGCTGCAAGGCGGCGCGCATCGCCTCGAGCTTGGCGTCAATGTCGACCATCGCCGCCTGCAGCTGCTTGGCGACGGCTTCGCTCTGCAGTGTCGCATCCGCAACCTTGGCTTCCTGCATCGCATCAAGATCGTCGATGTCGGTGCTTGGCGTCAGGCTCTGCTTGGGCACAGTCTCGGCAAAGATCGGGTTGAGCGCGGGCTGGTTGCCGCGAATCAACGGCGCGCGCTCGCCAAACCACTGCTTTTGAAAAACGATCCGGTTCATCGCATCGCGGTCGGCTTCCGTGTGTCCAAGAATCGTCTCGAGGCGCAGCACGCAGCGCGCGTAGCTCGCCAGCGCCCGCGACTGGAGCTTGGCCCAGTTGCGATCGACCGTCTTGTTCATCATCGCAAGCAGCAAGTTGAGAAGCAGCACGACCATGACCGCACAGTGGAACATGCGCAGAATGAAGCCAAAGTGCATGATCGGACCTTGAAGCAGGTGCTCCTTCGTGTCGTCGTCCTTGGCGTTGAAGTCACCGACGCCGTTCTCGCCGTACATGACAAAGTACGTCGCGCGGAAGCTGGCCCAGAGCGTCTTGTAGCTGTCGGACTTTTGCTGAAAGATAAAGTAATACGCGCACGTGAGGCCGCACTGGAAGACGCCGTAGAAGATGAGAAAGTCCCACACGTCGCCCATGACGTCCTTGACGATCGGGAGGAGGTACCCGGCGGTCTTGTTGACCTCGAGGTACTGGAGCGAGAGCATCCAGAGACTCAAAATGATGAACGCGCCGAGGCAGAGGTAGACGTCCAAGATCACGCCGTAGATCGCAACCGTGAGCTCAAACGGGAAGCCGAAAATGTTTTCCATGAAGTGGAG